TATATTTGACTTTTTCGCGTTGAATTACCTATGATTTTTTGGATATGAGGGGTAATGAGATAGGTTTGCTCATATATGGCTTTGCAACCATGATTGAAACAAAATTTGTCAAGTGTAACAATGTAAATAGGAGCATGAGTCAGTTATATTGAAGAAAAGTTTAGAAACATTTTATCGTCTAAACCTTAAATTCCTTTAGCATTAACGTATGAGAAGCATTGACATGATTAATTAGTTTGCGCGTCTTTTAACTGCTCAAGAAAGTTGTACAAATCACATTAATATGTTTGAGCTTTCAAAATCTCAAATTACCTACCATTGTAATTGAAATGTCCTTTTTTTGTCAAGGACTTATTTTTTTTCTAGAAACATTTAGTATGCCATTACATTATATTTGACTTCTACAAACATTTTATTGTAAAAATGTGTTCATCAAAGAAAACAACCAAAACTCATCAAACTAATATCATAATTCATCTTAATTACAGGATTTTCAGCTTCACTTCCATGGTTAACAAGACTAAAGATCGCGCTTGGAGCTGCTAAAGGGCTCGCGTTTCTTCATGAAGCAGAGAACCCAGTCATCTACCGCGATTTTAAAGCCTCAAACATCTTATTGGATTCTGTAAGTACATTATGTCCTTGTTAACAATCTCCCATCATAAACATTACAACAAAGTAGCAAAACATACACATAATTCACTAATATGTTACTAATACATCAAAATTATTATGCAATTCTACAGGATTTTACCCCTAAGTTATCTGATTTCGGCTTGGCGAAAGAAGGTCCTGAGGGAGATGACACCCATGTTTCTACTAGAGTTATGGGCACACAAGGTTATGCTGCTCCTGAGTACATCATGACTGGTAATTTTTTTTTACTTCAATTCATTCATAGTAAAATATTTAAAGCATATTTTTGTTAATAATTATTAGACAAAATTATAGTTTAACATTGTAATTTTTAAATTTATATTCCAAACTTTACTTGATAGTATATGCATTTTAGAACGTTATTTGACTAATCAAGTAACTTATACAAAGTATATTCCTCTAACTTGACGGGTATAGATGGATTATCCAAATAAGCAAGATATTAGAAAAATAAAATAACTCAAATTAAACTCTTTTCTTTTCTTTTAAGTGTAACTTGTTCAATATGATAACAAATTTATAATTCCCTTCTCTTCTTAAGCAAGAATTAAATTTTTTATTTAAAAAATACTACTTATATTTAATTAATAGGTAGTCAAGAGACTCTTTTTATTTATAAAATAGATATCTCTATGACATAGACGAAGAATATTGACAAAAAACATATTAAATTGTAAGAAGAGTCGAAATTGACTAGTTACAAATAAACCCTTCTAGACATTAGTTGAAATAAAGCCTTTCTAAATTATTTCCAAAGGTATTATAGGAATTATGTACTAATGTTATATGTGCTTCAATTTTCAGGTCATTTAACAGCCGCGAGTGATGTATACAGTTTTGGAGTAGTACTCTTAGAACTCCTTACGGGTAGACGATCACTAGACAAGAACCGTCCTCCAAGAGAACAAAATCTAGCCGAGTGGGCTAGACCACAATTACAAAGCCAACGACGACTTCCACGTTTAATGGACCCAAGATTGGAGGATCAATACTCCGAAGATGGGGCCCAAAAGGCTGCACTACTAGCCTACCAATGCCTAAGCCATCGGCCCAGAAGCAGGCCCACAATGAGCGTTGTTGTAAAAACCTTGGAACCCTTGTTAAACCTAACCCAAGATATCCCAACCGGACCCTTCGTCTACACCGCCCCAAGTGACCAAAGTCCCGCCCATGATAAAATGGGAGGTGAGACGAAGAAAGAAAATGGCCACCACCACAACAACCATCAAGAACGTCCTCAACGTCGCCATGACATAAACCGTATAAGAGCACCAAAACCTTCAAGTATAGTGAACTCGGACCCTAATGTACAAAGAAACCTTAGAAATGGGTTTAACTCTCCGGGCCACCATCACATGGGAAGAGGAGCATAGACCATGCAAAAACAAAACAAAAAAATGTTACTAGTAACATTATTTGCATGTGATAAAAAAAACACACCCAAAAGTGGGGACAAAAAAAAAAGGAAACTTCACATTTGTAAATACAAAGTTTGCAAAAAATATCAAATGTCTAGATAAATAGAATAGGGATACAATATACGTTTGTCTTTATTTTTTTCTACATTCTTTGAATTATGAGGGTTTTTTTAATTGATTAGTTTATATTGTCAAAATTATATATACATATTTTTTGGAATTGTTACAAAGTTGTATCAAATTATTATTATTATAATGAAGATTAGAAGAATATGTTAATGATACTTCAAGTTGCCTTCTTATATACTTATGTTTAATTTGATGTCCTTTTCATTTTATATATTGACATGATTGATGAGCTAATTTAAGAGATGAGGTGCCCTTTACAATATGTTCAATATGCTGACATGAAAATTAAAGCCGAATGGTTACATTTTTTATTGATTAATTGATTTACTCCTAAATTATTATTTTAAGATGAGATTAATTTGTAGTGTTAGTGGTGTTCATTATAATTATGTGTATCATATCTTTATTTAAGTACTACAAAGTTGTATGCGTCTCCTAGTGACTTCTAACAAATCAAATTCTTGCATGTCAACTGGCATACTCATTACTTGGATTAAAAAAAAAAAAAATTAATAATAATAATAATAATTTTTTTTTTAAAGAATACAATTTTTATAAATAAAAAAGATGGCATTTTTAACATGTGTAAGACTATTTACTTGACCACAAAAAAAGCTAAGTAAATCTTTTCACAATTAATTTTACCTACTTTCGACTTTTGGATAGGGGAGTTAAACAACATGTTTCCCTTGTTTTTCAATTGAGCCTATTAATTATTTTTGTCATTTATCGTAACGTTGCACAATTGCACATTTAAGTGTCGGTGTATTACTCATTTTTAAGCTGTTATTGACACACTGAAGTTCTTATTGACACACTGAATAAGTATCTTGTTGGTGTGTCAATATATACTATACACTAATTTGTTTTACTTTCATTAATTTTTCATGCACGCATCACATACCATTCATTCACTATCATTCTACATATCAACCGATGAGCCTTTGCACTTAAAGTGTATTTCATTCGGGTGAGATAAAACTTAAGGTTCCTTTTTTTTTTTTTTAAAAAAAAACCCTCAAACTTCACTATAGATAATAAATTTTGTCAAAATAATTCCATAAACTCTGTATAAAAGATCAATATCAATGGATGTCAAATAAGTGTATATCAATTATAAAAAAAAATAATAATAATATTACTAAGTACAAGAATCAAAGTGAAGCAAATATATAACTATATTAATCGACCAATTAAGCTTCTAAATACGAATTAGTCGTAATAATAATAATGTAATTTGTCTCTTTCGTCCATTGCTAAGAAATAGCAGCAAATCAAGGACAAATAAAGAGCAACGGCGATTGATCAATTAACTTTGGTAGCACCACTAAATAAATTGGCTGTTTGTTTGCACGTCCATGCTTTTAACAGCCAAGGGAATTGGTATTGGTACAACTATCAAACACATACAAATAATATGAACTATCAATTGAGCTGGCCTAGCCAACATACAATATCTTTTGTGTTACATTTCTGTCGTATATCTTGCGGATCTATTACCTACTTAATTTTGTCTAGCCAATGTAATAATATACCAAGTACTTTGTATATAATATAATATTGACACATGTTTTTAGCATCTTTAATTCATGGAGAATTTAGTGGGATATTCGAACATTGTAGTTAATGAGATTAAAACTGATGTAGTAATATGCGTTCATAAGCACACAATAATAATTAACTGAATATTAGTTGGTAAAACATGTTAAATAATAAAATGAATTTTTATTCATACATAACTAATCTAAACGTTATAAACCAATCTAAAATTGAAGAAGTAAGAAACTTATAAATTACCTTCTTTTTATCAAAAAGAAAAGGTAAACAAGAAATTAAAATAATATTCTCTCAAGACTATACTTTAATTATGATAATAAATAAATAGATAAAGAAAATTTACTATCTATAAATAGGGCCTAGAATAAGATGACTCTATGCGGAGTATACTATTAACCCCTTTTTAATAAATAAAAAAACACAAACTTTTAAAAAAATCGGGTGTACAATAATTATTGTACATCCATTATAAAGATAAGCTAAAGTGATTAAAAGTTACCCCTGAAATGAATAAAAGTTACCCCAATACGCGTTAAAGTAACCCAATTCAAATAAAAATTATCTACGCTTTATTAGTAAATAATCACATTTTAAATGACTAAAAATCAATTATAAGTGATTGAATGTAATTAAATTACCTTTATAAAACTTTTCTTGTTGTTGATTTATATAAAAATTGTATTATGTATAAAGTTACCCAAAAAAGACAAAAAGTTACCCTAAGATTAGCTAAAAGTTACCCTTATACTGCTCGATGTACACTAATATTAGTGTAAACCGGATGTATACAAAAGTTTTTGATAAAAAAAATGGCAAAACAATCTAGTTGGCCATTCAATTTTAGAGATCTTATCCACTGACATACCTGAAACTGTGACAACGGTCCCAATCGAGAGATTGTTATAGACACCTGGGTGCATGATGCACCCAAGGGTATTATTCATTCATTTTGATGATTATTGCTCATTTAATTATCAAATGAGCAAAAAATTACCTCTAAGTGCACCATACACCAGGGTTTATATAATATTATAATTATTTTCAGTCCCGATCTCATGGTCGGATACCCAAGTCTTTGATTAAAAGGTAGCACAACTCTCTAAAGTGGGCTGATGAAGCACCCCTCCAACCCCAAATCTACACTAATTTTCTTTTGGGCTCTCGTAAAAATCCATAATCTACTTCCTTTTGGGCTAAACATATACACAAAAAACCCAATCTATAATCAATTTTTTTTTGACAATAAGGAACAAATAAAAATTCCATTACTTTCCAACCTTTTTCTTTGACAAGGAGAGAGAAAAAGAAACTCCATCAATGGCGACTGACGTGGCAATGGTTCCTGCAGGCGACGGTTCCAGCTCTGCTCCTGGTCCTTCTTCTTCATCCAAGAAACCGAAACGTTTCGAGATCAAGAAATGGAATGCCGTTTCTCTCTGGGCTTGGGGTAATTCTAAACCCCTCTTTTTACTTCCAATTCTTATAAACCCTAACCCTAATTTTCTGTTTTTATTGGATAATTTGTGCTTTTTTTTTTGTTGATTTTTGGGCTCTTTTTTTTTTTGCAGATATTGTGGTTGATAATTGCGCAATTTGCAGGAATCACATCATGGATCTTTGTGAGTTTTTAAACTTTTTTTTTTTTTTTTTTTTTTTTTTTTTTTTTTTTTTTTTGTTCTGGGAAATATATTTGGGTTTTTTGATGTTGTGTTTGAATAGGTATTGAATGCCAAGCTAACCAGGCGAGTGCTACCAGTGAAGAGTGTACTGTTGCTTGGGGTAATTTTTTCTCTCTTGAACTCTCATAAATTCTCCCGATTATTGATGTTTAATATTTGTGATATTATATGCTCTATGTTTGTGCTGGAATTGAGTTATTGAATATAATTTTAGAAAGATTGTGAAATTTCGGAATTTGAGTTCGTGGCTTGATATGTGAATGCTTGACATCTACGATTGAGCATACTTCGTGGGAGAGGGTGTGTTTATTTTGTTTACATTGCACAAATTTTGAAAATGTGTGGTATCGGATAGGCAGTGTTTACAACAATTACAGGAGACGTATTGCTGTTAAGAGTGGACGGTGTATGATGTTGAGAATTGTGTAGTGGAGTTGATTGCTGCTTTTTTAGAAGCCTATATAGAATTGTGTAGTGGAGTTGATTGCTGCTCTTTTAGAAGCCTCGATAGAAATGTGAAGTTAGAGCCTTGGAGAAAGGGAGATACAGATACAGTTGTTCTGATGTACTCTGGTTGAGAGTTTGTTAGTTTGTACGTAGTATTGTTTTTGAGAATTATTTTGATGAGGAAAAAGTAGATGAATGAATGTAGCTTGGGGATTGCAAATCTGCTCGAGGGCTAACCATTGTGATTTGTGGGATTTGCATGTTAATATAAATTCTGAATGGAGGCTTTTGGGATAAATGTGGGTAATAGTAGATTTGGGTTTGATGTCACAAATTTGACTGTGATTGTTTTATGTTAGAAAATGTTGCTGTTGGTTAATGTTCTAACAAGGAAATTTGGTGCTCTAAATGACTGTTGGCTGAATAAAGATGAAAAAGGGCAAAAATTTATCTCAAGGGTTTCTGTTTTAGCTTATCTCCTTATAGTATTTGATCTTACAATCCAGTTTCTAAAATTGGAATTGGTTACTTTGGTTAATATGAGGCTTTGGTTGTGAGCATGTTAGATTTGATTTCCAAATATATTTGTTGATCTTTCTGTTAAGAGTTACTTCGTATGAGATTTGGAACTTGATTTTGTTTTTTTTTATTTTTTTTATTTTTTATTTTAATAATGAAAGTTACATTTCTACAACTTTAAGGACTATGCTGTGGATGGTTGTGGACAAATGTCTTAAAAGGCATGAGAGTATGAAACACATTAAGGAAATAGAGATTTAGTCACTTAGAGCCTAGGTGATTGAGGTCAGAGACAAAGGCATGCACAGGCATATATGTACATATGTTGTTTAATTTATTTTTATTTCTATAAATTGTTGCTGATTTTCTGTGATGATGATATATGTATCTTAGATAAAGGACTGGAAAGTTAATGACTCTTTTTTTCTATGATTGAAAGGTATATTAGTCTATATGCATTCCTGTGGGCCTATCTAAAACAGTGTTGCTTATAGTTTGTGTTGAATATAGGTTTAGCTATGTGCATTTAGGCATCCATAACTACAGTTAGTTTGATTGATATTGTATTGTTATCGTACTAAGGGTCTGCTTTAAGTTTCAACTGCCTACGATGCCTCTACTGTGCCTTATCAAACTTGCCTTGCCAAGAGCCTCGAAGTCGATCATACTTTTTGGCTTTTGCCTTTTTGTGTAGAGCCTTAAGTGCTGTTTTTCATGCTTGTATTTGGTGCCTTGTTTTGGCTATGGTGATACCAAGGAAATCTTTTCTTTACTAAGAGCTTAGACATATGGAAAATTAGTCATTAATGTGCACAGTTATCTCAATATTCCTTTACAGATAAGATTTATGAATATGTTTGACTATCTTTTCAAAGTGTTTACTAGTGGAGCAAGGGGATTGTTTTAAAATTATTTACTGGTTGGTTGATTTGGTATAGGAATGATAAATGATTGAGAACTATGTTAGTGTTTGAGATAATTCGTGAGTTGAAGAGTTGATATGGATGCATTCAATACTGCTCAGAAGAAATAGGGTACAGTACAAACTACATAGAGTTACTTTTATTGGTTACGAGTGTTGTTGTAGATTATATGTTATAGAGTTGGAGTACATTGGTTTGGTATTGATAATGTTACCTCTTTTTTTTTGGTTGGGTGTGGGTGTGGGGTTAAGTGTGCATGTCTGAAAATTTTATACTTGGCTGAAGTGGTAGCATGCTGCAGTGTGAACATCTGAACAAATATTTTAAAAAACTATAGATGTTTGGACTTATCCTGTAAGATCACTTTTGCTCGTACGGTCTTAGCTCTTGCTAGAATTATGAACTTTTTTGTATTGAAGTAGCTGCTTTATTACATTGTTTTGAGGGTTAAATGGTTTTTAAAGATGATCGTAAGCTATCTGATGAAACCGGGAAAAAAAATGATTTCTTATAATGTGGTATAAATTAGAGGGTTGGGCCTACTATTTTGGAAGCTACTCCATAATAAAGCGGTGATTTCTCTGCACTCTGTAGCCACGTAACATGGTCTCTGAATGTGTAAGCCCGTAGTTGTAGCATTTGCATGGGGTATCTACAGGCTATTCTCTTTATGATTCTTAAGCACCTTGAGAGTACCATGATATCCTCATTGTGATTTTAAATCACCTTAAGTATCATAATCTAACCTTTTTTTTTTTTTTTTTTTTTTTTTTTTTTTTTTTTTATAATTTTAGTTTATAAAATTTACTTTTTTTTGTATTCGTCCTCTGTATTTCCATTCTTTTAATGTGCTTTGATTTCTGGGTGTTATATTTTTCATTTGTTTTCACATTTTAAATTTGTAATTTGTATAGACATGATTGTCCATATTCAATAATCTTTTCATTATCTGTTTCCCATGCCAATCCTAAAGTATAGGGAAAAGAATACATAAAAAAGTAAGTAAACAAATTTTGAAACTCAAATTTCATAGATACATATCTATTTCTGTGGAGAACTTTGTTTAATGTAGGTTTATGTACAGTTTAGAAGAACTTTCGTATATTTCACTAGGGATCCTATAATATGGCTTGAACAGCAGTGAAAAATTGATAGAGAGACTGACTCTTGAACAACTCCTCACTGCATGTTTTTATTCCAGTATGGCTGCTTGTTTAAATTGACACTTGGTGATACACGAGCGTAGTTTTGGGTCCGTGAAGTCAATATTAATAGTCTGAACAACTTGCTTCTCAGTGTTTGAATTGCAGTCTGAAATCTCTCCTGCAGATAATAGTTTTTTTTGTTAGATGCTTGAGGTAGCAATTTGATTAAGTTGTTATGACACTTGCTACATTCTGTTTTGTTATATTTTATATGAACTCTTGGTTTCTGTGATGTCTATTGGTGTTTTTTCCCTGGTTCATAGCTCAGTTGTTTTATCTTGGTCGATAGTTTGTCATATTATTCAGATGTATCCTAACATCTGTAACTTTTATCAGTTGTGGCCTATCAGTTCTCACTTGGCTTAAATTTGGAATTATTTTGCAGGAGTGTGCAATCATGCATTTCATTTCCACTGCATCAGCCGATGGCTTAAAACCCGTCAAGTTTGTCCTTTAGGTTTGTTTGCATAATCTTTCTGCAATATATTACTCCGTATTGTCTATTATTGCTATAATTTCCCTAAGTCTCGTCTGTTATTTTATTTACCAGACAACAGCGAGTGGGAGTTTCAGAAGTATGGCCATTAGCGTTGTTACCTTGCTGTAAACCCAAAAATCTGAGGGTGTGTGCAGATGTGTGGAGTGCTTAGTGCCTAACTCTTGATTGTTTTGCTGCTAGTCTACATGATGGAACCATTGATTTTTGACTTATAACATCAAGAATCAATGTTTAGGCATTGGCCAAAATTGCTAGTACTGCTTTCAGAGAAAGCTCTATCTTGTCCAATATTGCACATTTTTCGTCAAATATTTCCTCCTTATTTCAATGTTTAATCTAACTCGTGGAAACTACTATGACAATTGTATCAAAATTTGATCGAAACTTTACAGTATGAGCTGTATTATTGTGTTGGTACAACATTTAATACCGGTTTATTTTATTTATCAATAATTACACAACTAATAATTCTCCTGAAGCTATTTTAGCTAAAAGCATGGTACAAATGCGCATTAGCGTCAGTTTCCTTAAGAGACTTTATATACACCATGACAACAATTCTCAGTAACAACGATCTGGTAGTGTGGATGGGAAATAGGCGGTTTTGGGAGGATAAATTGGGACGAGGAAAAGGATGATTTCCGGTTCGGACGAGGGAGTTAGAAGTGGGTGTGAGACTGAGTTACAAGAGAGGGAAGGGCAAAGGTTGGGAGTCAGGGGTTCGGGACTGTGAGAAAGACTGGGCCTCGGTGGTGGATTGACGAGTGTTAGTTAACCCAACACAATAAGTGGTTAAATTGTCCACCTATAAATTTGTGATGTTTTTGAGTAATTTAGGATTTAAGGGCTAGCTTTAAAAAACTGAATGAGAATTATAATGTGCAATTGCGAATAGATTCTAATATGTTCATAGATTTGAATATTTCATTAGCCCTAAGGGCAAAGGTGGTTTGGTGAGAAAGTGAAGGCGAGAAATGGTGCGATAATAAATCTTCCAACAATAACTTCTCCACCATACCAAGTTATTCCATATTGTAAAACTCCGTATAAAATGTGTCAAAAGCACTTGTAGCAAATAATACGGAGTATATTCGTCAAAAAAAAATAAAAAAAAATAATACTGAGTATATAATCTAGCTTGAAAGAGACAAGTAAACGGCCGGAAAATGGCCGTCCACCACATTAACCACCAAAAATCGGCCGGCCGTCCCTTTAACGCCCCACCTGACCCACCGCCGACCCCCAAAACCACCCACACAAACTGCCCCGACCCCAAAAACCAATAGCGAGCACGAGCTTTGGCAACAACATCACCACCGCGCAAAACCACTCATATCCTCCACCCTTGAAACGATGAAATCGGCCATAAAAATCGACCATTCTGGATTTTCATGGTCGATTTCGGCCGTTTGAGGGTGAAGGGTTTCCATAGTCGGGTTTTATTTTTGGTTTCCATGGTCGATTTCGGTGGCTATGGTGATGCGTCGTGTTGGTGCGTGAGGTGGTTGCGGGGCTGGGGTAGGGATCACGCCGGGGGTGTCGGGTAGGAGAAGTTCTGTAGGTCGTCGTCAAGGTGCTGGAGTCGGGCAGGCGAAATTGTGGGCATTGCGTGAGACAGTTGCGGTGGCTGGGGTGATTTATCGGGAAGAGGAAAGGGGGATTAAGAGGGGTCAGTGGTTTTGGTGGGGTCAATGGGTTCAAGAGGGAGGTTAGGGGGTTCCGGCGGATTCCGACAGGAGGTTAGTGGATTCTGGCGGTTGGCTTTGGGCTGGTGGTTATGGTAGTGGGGGTTGGTTTGGGTTAAGATTTAGAGATTTTTTTTTAAAAAAAAAATAATAAATTTTAATTTAATTTACTTTTTTGTAAAACCAATAGCTGACTGACACGTGTCCACATGTGTCATGATTAAGCCCTAGTTATTAAAGGAGTTAACTCCGTTAGACAATAATGGCACCTTGTGAATTTTTTTAAAACTCGGTGGCATTTGGTGAATTTTGAAAAGTCCGATGGCATTTGATAAATTTTTAAATTGCTCAGTGACATTTGGTGAAATAGCCGTAAAAAAATTTAAAGTAAAAGACTTCTTTAGAGGCATAAAATCGAAAGGTGGCCTGCAATTGCATCATGCAAATTCCAATTTATACGGTAAAATGAGATAAAAGCATCTCAGCTCCTCTTTATAAAAAACAAATAACATATGCACCAAATTCACATCTATAATATTATTAAAACTCAAAGGAACAACATGCTACTATCATGTGTCACCATTCCTTTCACATGACTTGGCGCCACATGAGCGATATGTGTCATCATTCATTACTCTAAAACTCTTCGTATGTATAACCTTTGTACTTAATTTTCCCATATAATGTAACTCCTAAATAATTGCACATTAAAACGTTAATCACACACAAAGGCCCTGTTCACTTCACCTTAAAAAAAAATTTATTAAATGAAAATAATTTCAATTTAGTAAAAATAAATTCAGTTCAGTAAAATTAATTTCGGTAAAGTAAAATTAATTTCAGTTCAGTAAAAATAAATTCAGTTCAGTAAAATTCAGTCTTCTTAAAGAAGAATTATAATATAAAATCAGTAAAAATAATTTCAGTTCACTAAAATTAATTTTAGTTCAGTAAAAATAATTTAAGTTCAGCAAATATAATTTTGTTTTTGTAAAAATAATTTCAATTCAGCAAAAATAAGGTGAAGTGAACGGGGCCTAATGGTTGTTGATTATATTCCTTGGATGCTAATTTTCTAGATAAAATACTAGTCAAGCAATTATACAAATACTCCCTAATATTTACATAAATTATTATTATTGTTTTTTTGGCAATAAGTTATTATTTTATTATTTAGAGTAAAATGAATAAAACTAGCACTCATTAATCTTAAATTTATTGTTATATTATAATTTTATTCACTTGTAAATATTGTTGAACACTAACCTTTTAAATATAATTTTAATTTTAATCAAACTTACAAATTTTATAGTGATCCGGGGTGAAAATTTCATCATACACTCAGGTGTACCATGAGCATGGTACCCGGTCAAAATACATGAGTATAAAAACGCAGAAAGAACATTGTATACAAATACATAGTACACGAGCAAATAAAAAATAAAAAATAAAAAAATAAATAAAAATCAAAACGATTCTCCTCTTGATTTTAAAGATTGATTTGTTATTTTTATTCCTTGATTCATTATTTACATACCATATTATTTTTTATAAACAAAATTTCATTTTTTTTGTTAAGAGAAATCAATTGGGTTTATAGAGAGAGAAACTATGGTAAATTTTGAATATCAAAGTGATTTAATGTTATTTCGGAGTTGATTTTATCGTTTTGATGAATCATTTAATTGAAAAATCGATGTAATTGACAAATTTGTTGTTGAGAGAAAAGGTATTTTTAAATTTTTTTTGTTATCATTTTTTATGTTTTGGTGTTATTTTCTAAGGTTGAAGATGATGTTCTTCCTATTTTGATGAATGTTCTTTTATCATTTTTTAAATTGCAATGAAGTATGCTTCTTAAGTCTGATCAATATGTTATTTGAGTTTAAACTATATGTTCTTTACAATACAAACAATGTTCTTTAAGGTAATATATATCAATCATGTTCTTTGGTTATAATAATACAAATTATGTTTTTTGGGTATAATAATACAAATCATGTTCTTTTTACATATATAATATGTTCTTATATTTTGAATTTTGAATTTTGAATTTTTGAAATTTAAGAAAGAAATTTTGAACTATATTTGTGTAAAATTAATTTTAGATAGAGAAATTTTTAATACCTGAATATTTTCTGATTCAAATGTAATACTTATTTTGAAATTATTTGACATTAAATTATTGGTAAAACTCAATTCATAATTATGTTTTAGTTTTTTGATAAAAAGTATCTCATAATATACTATGTTCTTTATATTTCAGTGATATGTTCTTTTATAAATTCATCATGTACTTTATAATTATTTGTTATGTTCTTTCCACTTTAATATGGGTGTACCATGCTCATGGTACACCTGGGTGTACAAACCACCAATTGGATCCGGGGGGCATTGTTCGGGCTAATAACTAGTTTTACAATGCATTAATGAAGTATATATGACAACTTTTATTGTTGTTCTTTTCACAACTTGTGCAACAGAACAATTAACCTCTTTTTCCAATAAACTACTCCTTCATGGAATACATTAATTATTCTTTCTTCAAATGTCTCAAATGCCCCTTGATATGTATATACAAGTACCTATCAAACCTCCCTTTGGAAGGCCTCGATTTGTGAGACACAACGATTATATCTTCTCAAATTTCACACTTCATTAACTTGTTCTTCCCTAGGTGTTCTTCATTTAATAGTTAGGTTAGGATACATAGCTTTACTCCATAACACACTTTGTTCCTGAATACTTTCAATAGTTTGACCATGTATATGTGCAATTTATCAGCAAATCTTAGTAAAATTGATACAAGGTATTTAGAAAATATACAATGCATTTAATCTAGTATTCGATTTTTATATATTAATAAGAAAGTTTGGGTAATGTTGATGAATAAATAGTAAAAATTCATACTATTGCAAGTATTCAAGAACATATGGAGTAACTTGAATTTTAAATCCCCTTTTTTCTTTTAATCTTTTTCTCTCTTCTATCTCCTCTTTTTTTTAGGGTTATAGTTTTCTTGAAATAGTCTAATTTCTTCGAAAATTAGACTATTTCCGACCTTTTTTCTTCAATTCAATTTAGTTTTTTGTTTTGTTTTATGTTTTGTTTTGTTTTGTTCTCTCCATCTTGAGCGTTTGTTCTAATTTTCAGGGTTTTTCCCAAAATTCTGGGATTTTGATTCTCATCCATGAATGGGAATTTTATTTTTAGGGTTCTTATAATAATTGGGAAGGTGATTTGGATTCCTATGGGTCTGGGATTTGTCATCAACTAGTCGATCAAAAAACCAGCGCATAATGCGGAGGTCTCAACTTGGAAAGATGCAAAGACATTGAAAATAATTTTTTTTGCTCGCGTCAAGCTTGAAGCAGTGGAGTATGAGCTATGTCAAATATGCAAATTAGTTATGATTTTGATTGTAAAAGTTATGATATTTTCTCTAAATTTGTGGTTTACAAATTGTTATTAATACGAAGTATGTTATTCCTGATTAACATCTTTATTTTCGTGCATAAAATAACCTTGTGATTCTGAATAATATATCATAATATTGTTTTGTTTATGATATTCCCGATAAAAATAATCTTATTCCTGACTAAAATTTTCTAATTCCTGACAAATATTAGACCAATTAATATTAATCTAATACCTACCAATACTAATATATATACCTGACAATAAACATTTAATACCAAACAATAACAATTAAATACCAAACAATAAACATCTAATAACTGAGATTATTTTCTCCTTCTAGAATCACCACTGACCCTTTTGACCTCTTCTTCTT